AAGCCAGACTTTGTCTCCCAAGAAGATGTTGACCTTTTCAGACAAGCACGGGAACTGTCTTTTGAGGTGAGTATTACCATATTGCTTTTATCAATTAAGCTTTTAGCAGGACCTTTGATTCATGTGTTAAATTTGTGTTTTTGTAGCAATGTGTGAAAGAAAAAAAAACTATTTTACATTAAGGAATTGGGGTCACATGATGCATTTAAGGGCTATTGTAAATGGGCATTTTGGCTTATTTCTGACACCAGTTTCTGAAACATTTTCAATGGATATGGAATACTGCACTGGAGTCGAATCCTAGTTAACACCACACATGCAAACTGATGTCATACGCTTGTTTACAATAACAATAAAGCAGCCAATATTCAACTTGTAAATGCTGTTGTGTGCCTCTACATATACCCACCAAACTCAAAAGCAATGGTTATCACAGTTCTGAATTCAGAATGTACTAAAATTGTTGAATAAATCATGGATTATTAAGGCCTGGAGATTGAGAACCTGAAAGTACCAAACGGTTGCGTTTAGCACTGCTTTAAATTGGAGAGGGTGCTTTAGTGTTCTCAGCATAAATATGCCCTATAATGTTTGGGGTGGAAAAATTGTGCATTTGAAGGGCTTAAAGCTGAACTGTGAGCACAGTAATTTAATGTACATTTATTAAATAGCCACGATATAAATCAACTTCAGAAGTACCAAATGCCTTTGCAAACTCAGACGTTACTTTGTAAAATTATTGGTGACATCAGGTCTGTACTGCACATAGCCTGTGGGTGGGTGAGACCCAGCAAGTCCTCATACTTAAGGTTGCCTGCAGAATATAACAGGGAGGCTGATCCAAAACATGTCATTTTGCACAAGAAAAGAGAGCAGAGCAGTAACTAGTCATTACTACAGGAAACTCCCACACAGAGGCAGTAAGTGGTAATTATTTCATGCTGGGTTACTGGACAGATCTGAAAGAATTACACAAAGGAGTTTAAGAAAAACACGTCTTTTGTAATTAGGCAATATTAATTTATCCAGATTTCAGCCTTGGTGTGAGGAGTTAAGGTTAGATTAAGGCCCCTTCCACACAGGGCAGTCTCTGCTGGAGTCTGCTTTCTCAGCAGGGAATCTGTCTGCTAAGCAGGCGGATGGCTGGTCTGTGTCCACTCTTCGTATGCAGAACAGACACAGCCCGCTCTCCTCTATGGGCAGTCGGATGTAAAGGACCACCTGTCCATTTACACCAACTACTGTCTGATCCATTCCACCAGACGGATGGGGAACAGATCCCTATTCATTTGTTTTTAGCTGATTAGATGTAGGCTCATGTGTATGGACACATGTCCGTTTACACCTGCCGTTCTACAGAGGAGACTGGAGGGTCTAGTCAGGTCCACCTGAAAAATGGACAGGCGGAGCTGATCGTTTCGCTAATGTGAAAAGGGCCTAAGGACTAAATAACACAGTTTAGTCAAGGTTGAAGTGTAACAAAAGGTAGCTTTTTTTTATTGGATAGAGTGGAGAGAGATTAGAACACCTGCCAGTTTTCATTGTTGACTGTGCTTGCATTAGGGAGATGTACCCTATTGATCCTGTTTACAATTATCAAAAGTAAATGAAAATTCCAAATTGGGTTGACACCAGAATAGTAATAGAGGGGAAATCCTCCCATGGGGGCCCTAGTTCTAGTGACCTTGGTGACACCCCAGGATTCCCTCACTATGGAGGGATTTCCTCTCTCTTCCTGTTTTGTCTATGAGGCTGGAAGCAAAGGAAAATCTCCCTAATGGGACACAAATGGGGGGAAAAAATGACAGGGGTTATAAACCTTCCTTTACTCTATCCTAAATGTTTTCTGTTTAGTTCTAACTTAAGTGTTGATGTCTTTTAATGATTAATTTATAGGTTGTGTTAAGGCTGAAATCCAGGCAGACAGAAACACCAATTAATACAGTTATGAATGCATTAAAGAAGACCTAAATGCACCTAGCCTTACATAGCATTACTCTAGATCAATTTCTGATACAACACCGAACTGTAGTTATGCACATTCTCTTTGCAGCTAAACTTACAATTACTGCTAAGTGGAAGCAAACATTGGCCCCAAACCTGCTAAGTGGAAGCAAACATTGGCCCCAAACCTATCTGAAGCATCACAGTCCAATAACAATGCTCTTACGAATACTTTTTGGCATGTAATCATCAACGAAACACTAAATTCAGATCTACTTGGGAACCGTGGTTACCATCTTATAACCTTCCTTTTGTTCATAATAAGGCTTCCGAGTAATAGTATGGGTCGCTCTTGTAGTCATCAACTACTACATCCTACATACAGATAGCATTTTATGGTGTGGCACTTTATACTTCCTGTTTCAGACTTTTTTCTTAAAGCTGGTTTTGTTATACGCCAACTGTTCATAAAGAGCATCTTTTTTCACATTTGCTTTTGCTGATAGTACATATGCTTTCTGTCAAGAGTTATACCAATGTAATCAACATTCTGTATTGCAATATGTGCATTGTCTTTTTATAACTTTTCTTGATTACTCTGTATTGGATATGTCAGCAAATTATATCTGCTTTTTGGTTTAAATAAAAACTATTGAAATTAAAAAAGCCTTAAATGCTTTTGTTTTAAATGCACATAGGTTTAGGTACCTGAATTTGAATTCATATCAACCTTTTTATTATGCCATGTACAGCCTCACTCAGACTGGGAAAAGGAGGGGCAGTATTAGGGGCCAGTCAGGTATGCTGCATACATTCACAGGTTGGAGGAAGGAAGGCGACCTAGCTGTATTGCTTAACTGCAATATAAATGGGCAGGTCACTATCCTGGCTATGATTTAAACCAGAACTATGTAAATTTCAAGACTGTGCAGGTCAGAAATTCAAAATGTTGGCAGTTAAAATGCTTTGTATATATGGGAGCAGCTGTAAGAAAACTGTATGTTTCGCTGTCTGCCTGGAGTTTCAGGGCCTGAGTGAGGGGAATTTACAGCAATAGGATCAGCCCTAGGGGTTTAGTTAGGATTAGGGCTCAGGAAGTGTATTTTTCTGCTTGCTTTCAGTACTAAAAGCTATGAAATGCATTTTACCTGAGCTGGGTTTTCAGAACCCCAACCCAGGTATTTGAGTTACCTTGAACATGTGCCACTTTCACAGAATGTAGATGGATCCCTTAGACATTTGGTCCTGATTTCAGTTGCTGCAGACTCTTCTGCTGCTGCAAAGAATCCAGCTATATTTGAGAGGGATCCTATTTCTGGTGGCAGTAATAAACTTCTTAGATGTTTAGAGCTGGCTCACAGCTTTTATGCATCTTCTGTCCTTGGCATATCTATTTCTTTATGTCCTCCTCATATATTCACACGACACTTCACATTCGAGTTTGGTAGTCTTGAGCTTGGCAAAAAAAGGCACACTGGAAACACTACTGAAGATGTATTTCTTTGTGAAGGAAAATAATTTTGGGTGAGGTGAGAAATGATGCATAGGAAAGGTTAGGCTGTCCTCATTTTTAAGGCATGGATAAAATAAATCCCCTTTTTAAAACTTTACTCATTCTCTTTCACTTGTCATGAGAAAATTATTGAGGCTGCCATTGTTGATCTCTTTTTCCTTTTGAAAATGCTAGTTCCCTTGCTGTCATGCCAGTGCACTGCCTTCAGCATGTTCCAAGTCCCTGTAACAAGTTAACAAATTCTAACACTCATGCTCTACGACACTAGTAAAAACAAAGGAAAAAACTTGCATAGGCAACTCCATCCTGCCATTATCTGGAATCAGTTGGAGTTTAGAGGAATGTGCCACTCATAAGGATCTCAAAAAAAAAAAAAAAAAAAAAAAACTCATGACAGAATCAATGCTGGGGGTGGAGTTTGGGTGCATCCATCAATGGCAGGGGGCGCTGCTTCAGTCAAGTCAAGTTGTTAAATTTTCTTGGTATCCTATAAAGCACAGAGGCATTAGAAGGAAGGAAGAAAGGTAAACACCTTCAGATACAAATGTACACAAATTTATTGGTACCCTTCTATGAAAAAAGGAAGAACCCACAATTTTACATAATTAAAGGAGAAGTATGGCCAAAGCTATTTTGGCCATGCCTCTTATGTAGGTCACAGGAGTGCACTTAATTTTGCACTCCTGTGACCCTGACAACAGCCAGTTCACACAGGTGCCTGACCGGCAGCTTGCTCAGACTCTCAACGTACAGCTGAGAGCCTGAGCCAGCCTCTCCCATCCCCTCCACAACCTGGCGCTCCAGTGAGAACTGGAGGGGGGCAGGGCAGAGGGTCGGTGACTGAAGTCTCCCTGCTGTCAGAATGCAATGACACTGCGAGGAGGGTTTACCCAACCACCTGGAATGTGTGTATGGGGGAATCAAGTCAGTTTTTTCATTCAACCTGCTGGTGTGTCATACTGTGGCTTTTACACACCTTCCTGGCCACTGTGTCATTAATGTATCTACTCAAAGCTACTGGGGCACACTAGCGACGTAGTTGACAGGGAAAGCACAACAGATAGAAGTAGGCATTGATGTTCCCAGAAGTGTCAGATGCTGATGATCCTAGCAGTACCTCTAGAGGAAAGTAAAGAGTCTGTTCAATGAAGGCAGTAGTGGTAAGTATAATAAATGCATTTTTAAAATCAATGTTGTTGGGATACATACAGGGGTTGGACAAAAATATGGAAACACTACTTGATTTGCAGGTGTGAAAGTGACAACCTATTTCATGTTGAAAGCAGAAATGATGTAACATTCTTTTGCTTCTGCTGTGTGATGAGACACCTAGCTAACAGGTGGGAAGCTTCTCTCATCATTCACTGCATACGCTGCTAGTAATATTGAGTCATGTCAGAGTCATGTCAGAGCTTACTATAATATATAGAATCAATACACTTTTATGTATGTAATGACATTTAAGTAAATGTTATGCCATTTTTTTTTTCTTGGGTAGAAAATAGGATGCCAAACAATTGATGACCACACTGGACGCTACCCTTCAGTTATTGAGTTTGGAAATTTTGAAATCCAGACGTGGTACTCCTCGCCTTATCCACAGGAATATGCAAGGTGAGAACTGTGTGATATCCCACATAAGCATTTTTTTCAAAGCAAGAAAAAAATTTCATTTTTAGATACAAGTTCTTTTGAAAAATTACATTCCCAATCTACTTTTTATCATTGTTTAAAATATATCCACTTAGTTAACCCCTTCCTTCCTGTTGCTGCCTTCCAGCCCTGTAAGTGGATTAAAATGCCAGGAGGCAGAGGCAGGCATTACAATCATGTGATCGCTGTGATTGGCTGACACAGTGGGCACGTGATCGAAAGCTCCTAATCACAAAGATGCATTGGAATCTATCTGTGACCGTTTAGTTACTGTGCTGGTGGGAAGACGTTAAAGGAGAACTAATGTGAAAGATATTGGGGGGGAATTCCATTAAGCTGCTGCACCACTTTTCTGGTGTTGATTACTCTTGTTAATGTGCTGCGCCAAATTCAGGTAACATATGCTACACTTTTGGTTCTGGCAGCAACTTGTGCTCCAAGTTCTGATAGTTCAAAAAAGCGCCACTTTTACATTGTACCAAAATGAATGCTCCAAACTCAAACTAAAATACAGACAGTTCATATCTTATAATAATGGAGCCAATGAAGCCCAGTTCTCTTTTGCCGTACTGCGAGAGAACCTCGCGCAAACAGATTTGTGAAAGTGTCTCACATGCACTCCAAAAGACAAATTCAAGTACACGTTTTAGACAGGTACATGAATTTGGCACATGCTACACCAATTTTAGAATGTACACAATACACTTTTGCAAAATCTGTCTATGCCAGTTGTTATGAATTCCAGGGACTGTATTAAGGTAGGGCAGTTTGGCATTTAGGTATGATCTTGACACTCTTTGGCTTCTGATGTATGGTAAAACTGTAAGATAAAAAAGCATTTGATCTTCATGCATGTAATCCTGACAGCATTGTTATATGATGGCTTGAGTTTCTGTTATAATGGGGATCACAGATTACAAGTGTCCATTAGCAATTGGTGTTCAATTATCTATGCAGAGTTGGTTGTTCTAATCTACATACTAGAACAGTGGCACTGTTTCTCATGAACCCGCTCTCCTTTCTACTCTGAACTCGGACTAAGTCCCAGCAAGATGAGAGGACACAAAAAGAACACTTAGGAAAGATAGCCATTTCCAGCCTGCTTTAGGTTTTTTTTTTTCGTCTAGCACAGCTGGAGTTGTGTTATCGTTAACATATACAGTTCTTGATCCTTTTTAGTTGGTGACTTTTTTTTTTTTTTTCTCAGATTACCAAAGCTTTACCTGTGCGAGTTCTGTCTGAAGTACATGAAGAGCAAGACTATCCTACTGCGGCACCTAAAGAAGTGTGGCTGGTTCCACCCTCCTGCCAATGAAATTTACCGGAAAGATAACTTATCAGTGTTCGAGGTGTGTGGGCGACTATAATCTTTAGAGGGCCAGACAGCGATTTTATTTCTCTTAATGTTAGAATATATATATATATATTCTATTTGACTACCTCAAGTCTCAACCCTACAGGCTTCTTTACATAAACAAATGTATCTTTTGCTAGTGTCATGCCATAGATCGTGGATGTGATTGCAGTAGCCAATACTATAGTAGATAATGGTTTTGTAGGTGCAATCCAAATTTTCCTATCCATATATATGATTGTAATCTATATACTTGCATGTTTGGTATTGGACAGTGCTCATTATAAATGCCTTTTGTATGGCTGTTGTTCTAGGTGGACGGTAACATTAGTAAAATCTACTGCCAAAATTTGTGTTTGCTGGCAAAGCTGTTTCTGGATCACAAAACATTATATTATGATGTTGAGCCATTCCTTTTCTATGTTCTTACTAAAAATGACAAGAAGGGCTGTCATTTGGTTGGATACTTCTCTAAGGTAGGTTTTCTAAAAATTGTAATTCCTAAATGCTGTATGTTGAATGAATCCAGTTCTGAGCTTGAAATGATGAGTCAAAGCTGTACAGTGAAAGGCATTTTTCAAAGGACATTTCCCATTGCATTCTATGCTTTGCTTCTTTAGCACTGTACATGTGAATGTTGATGGATTTTATCATATCTTGTGTTTTTGAGCCTACAAAAAGTGTATTTCAAATAATATTTGCAAGCACATTGGCCTTTACCAATTCCTAGTTTTCATCTCCAACCTGGGTGTGTAGATTTGGAGAACCTAACTAGTTCACTTTTCATAACTTGCCATATGATTAAAACATTGATGAACCTCTTCTGCTGATACATTTAGGGTCTAATGGCTCTGTAGGAGCTATGGAAATAATTTTCACACTTGTCTGTTCATATTTTAGGATGACATGCTTTATGTAAGTACCAAGTCTCTTATTGTGCAAGTAGACATAGGGCTAGTGTACACAGGCATTTAAAATCTTTGCAGTGCATTTAGATTCGTATTGGTTTGAATGTAGGAATGCATAAACTGATCTTAAACAGATCTTAGCTGATCTCAAGAGCCCCTGCATAGTAGAAAAATTAAAAAAAGACCCTCCTGCAATTGAGGATGACAGTACTGAAACCAGCACCTTTTATAGTCAGAAATGGCAAATCCCATATTTTTATCTTGATAAGTTCCTTCAAGTTTACCATTTTTCAATGAATGATACTAAAGAAACATTTATAATAATTGTTGAGCCCACTCAGAACTAGTATTTCAGTTTTTTGTAAATCCTGGAGTGCTAAACCCACCTGCCAGTCTCTTATACCTCCCAGGAACTGTATTTGCAAATATAAAATATCATGGACAGTACTCATTTATTTAGACAATTCAAACTCTGATGTAAACGTGAATGTTTTTAAGATGCTGTTCTGTTAATCATCCCCATGTGCTAATTTGTTCCATTATTTTACATTTTCTTAGTCAGAACAGGGTGTTTATTCAATTTTCCCAAGAGGTATTTGGAAAGCATCCAATGACAAATGAGGCCTTTACAAAAGTTATAGCTTATTTGCTTCTTTTTATTTATTTTGAATAGTATAAAGAAATGTGAAGTAACAAAGGGGGTACACAGTAGGTCAGGGGCAGGTGTGTCCCCAGAACACTGTCAGGCTTATTTATCTAGTTTTTAAAAAACAGAAGTGGTGATATGGAAAGGGCTTTAATCCATCCCTACCAGTCAGACTCTTTTTATATTACTGCAGTAAGCTGAAATCTGACTGGCTGTATAGACAAGCTATACTTTGCTCCTTATGTTGGCTCTTTCTCTTACTGAATGGGCTTGTTTATCCTTTTGTGTATCAATGATTTAACCCAGTTGTCTTCCCTTTTTATACAGGAGAAACTTTGCCAGCAGAAGTACAATGTGTCATGTATCATGATTTTGCCTCAGTATCAGCGGCAGGGATTTGGAAGGTTCCTCATTGATTTCAGTAAGTTTTATCCCTCTCTTTCAAGGCCTTTGGGCATTCAAGAGACCATTAGAAGCTCTAGTCTGCTAGCTTGTCATGTGTCAAGAGCAAAGCATACAACATTGTAGATCAAATAATGCTATTGACCATTGTGGTGATTGATATTTTGTATATTACAGATTCCTTAAATCACTTAAGTCATTTTCTGATACCGCTCTGTATTTGCTTGAAAGACTAAACCTCTCAATTTCTGGTTGTATACAGCTGTATGATACAAGTTTTATTGTTTTGCAGTAATGTAATACGTTTGCGGTATCTTAGTCTCCATTTGTGATCTATTACTTTTTTTGGGTTTTTATTGTGCAACAAATTTCTGTAAAAGTGAGATCTTGTTAAATAGTACATAATGTATTGTTTGTTACAACCACATAAATATGATACATGGTTAATAGAATCTGTCATTTTAAAAAAAGACTGTTCTAGGTAATTTAAATGCAGCAACCTCTAATTATTTTACAGCTGAATCCCGGTCTGTTTGGAGGGGGAAAAGCTTTGCAACGTTTGGTCCCTAAACTTGTCAGGTCTTTTCTTCCTCTTGCACTCTATTTGAGCCAGTGATGCAGGCCACCATAGTAATGGGCTAAAAGGAATGTGGGAGCATGCGGAAACCACAAACTGAAACTACCCAGAAGTCAAAGCTTTGCCTGTAAGAATAGCCTGGTGCAGCAGAGCAGTCTGTTTATTTGTTGTTGTTTTTTTGTGGTGATCTATTTAACTTTTAATAAGTTCCCATTTTAGTTTTACATAAAGTGTAACCCACATGTTATATGTAGCCATAGCACACATCATTACTTGGAGTCTTCGATTTTCTTATCAAAATCATTAGAACTCTTTAATAGTCCCAAGGCCTTTCAGGGAGTATACATTATGGTACGACACTGCTTAGTTATATTTTTTAGAGGCAGAATTTCACCACCCTCTAAATGTATGATTCATTATTCTCAAAATACCGTCTTTAGCTCAATTGTCCCATTTTTTAACATATGTGGTAAAATTAATCTCCTGACTCCTGTATTGTGAGCTATCAAAGCCAGATTCTATACAACTCCAAAGACATGCTGGTAGGTTAATTGGATCCTGTCTAAATTGCCCCTAGTATGTGTATGTATGAATGTAAATTGGGGACCTTAGATTGTACGCCCCTTGAGGGTTAGTGACTGATGTGAATGTACAATATTTATGTAAAGCTCTGCGTAAATTGACGGCGCTATATAAGTACCTGAAATAAATAAATCTGTGCTCAGGAGATAAAGCCATGCGGAAGGTGGGAGCATAAGGAAGAGATCTGCATTGCGTGTAAAATCTCACCCTAGGAATGGAGACCTTCCTCCTGTCCCTCCCTCCCTTCTTTTCCCTGTACTGTCAGAACTCATTGCTTAAGCTGATCTTGGCAGCTGTGTACTTCTGCTGTAGCTCTTTTGTCTGTTCAAGCTCTTGGCAGTGCATGTGTCTGAAGTGTGCGTGTTAGTCTGGGCACTGTGACTGTGTCTGTTATGAAGCTGATTTTGTGGGAAACACAGGATACTGCTTGCTCACTGACACATGACAAAGACAGAATTCATATAGAACAATGAAGCTGGACCCCAGCACTATGACCATTACTTAAGTAAACATGGGTATAATTGTCTGTGTGATAGGGTTCTGTTTGTGCTGCCTGAATGCTTTGATTTGTCTGTAGATTAGTGTTTTTTACATTGTGTCTCAGGGGCTGTCTCAACGTTTATTGCGGGCTTGTGAAGGTGTTTAATGAGGTTGGTTGAGTGTAATTACAGGAAGTCAGAATGCTTTGCCCCCCTGGTGTTTGTCGTGTCCCCTCTAAGTGCCTCTTAATAACACTGACAGCCTGCAGCGCTTTCTCATTATCTCTGTCCTGCGCTGCCAGATTCTTGTCTTTTACTTAACCTTTTTTTCCCCTGCATACTGTAATATGTTTTGCATGCAACACACAGGAGGGGCTTTACTAACTCAGCGTTGTATATACTAATACAGGAGCTGTCGGATATTGACACATATTCAAACCACTATAATCTATCAAGTGCTTTCTTACTGGAAACATAAATCTCATCATAGGCACAACACCTCTGTTTCTCTTGAATCATAATGGTGGTTTGGTAGCTTGATGTTCTACAGTTTTACTAGTGAGCACAATGCTTAAAAGGCTGCATGTGATCCTGCTTTCTTCAGAATATATCTTCATTTTATAAAGATTAAAAGAAGCGTATATTATAAAATATGGTTGCACATTTTATATTATTTTGTCACCTCCTTTTTCTCTTAAATAGATACCTTTTTTTTGTATCTGTCTTAAGACAATGGCAGTGACATTTAAAGTGAATACAAAGAACAAATGGATGCTTTTTATGGGTTATTTGAGTTTGGTCCCTGACCACCCAGGTAATGCTCTAAGTAATCCTGTCCCTGGCTGCATTTTACTCCAGTAAATCTGTATCTTTTTTTACTTAGTACTAGCTCCACAAATTATGGAATTCTTTTTTGCATTAAAGAGAAGCATGGACTGAGTGATCAAACACCACTGATCACTCAGTTCTTCCCTCCGCCCTGAGTGGAGAGCTGTGACTGTTAATCTTGGGCTGTCTGCTCTACCCCTTTGGAGCACTGGGCTGTGAAGGGGGCAGGAGGGGCTGGCTCAGGCCTTAAGCGGACCACTGAGGTGCTGAACCAGGTGCCATTCCAGGCTTCTGGGTGGGTACAACCATATAGTCAGGATCTTTTCAGAGCCTGGAATGGCTCCGTGATGTCAGCCAAATGAAAATGGGTCACAGGAGTGGAGAACGAACTGCATTTCTGTGATCCATAGAAGTATAGCCAAAAAAGCTTTGGCCCTACTTCTCCTTTTAAGATTTAGATATTTACAGTATTAGTGAAGCATGCCTTATTTTTAATGAATGTTTTCCCAATTTTAGTTCAACTGTGGTTACATGTACCCTCTTGTAGACTGTATTGATTTAACAGGCTTAGGCTGGTAGGCATCTTAAGGCCTGGTTTACACAAATGCTTTTTGAAGAAACACACTACAGTCCATTTAACATGGTTCCCTATGGGACATGTTCACATCTATGCCTTTTTGAGCTGCTGGGTTTTTAAAAAGGGTCAGGGACTTTTTTTAAACTGAGTACTGCCCTGTAGTAGTAAGGAGACCATCATTAGCCCTTGGAGCTTTAACAGATGGGTGCCTGCTACCTCAAAAATGTTTTATCTCTTATCTGAAGCTGTGATGGTTCCTTCAGCATCATCTTCTGCCTCCATCCTCTTCCAATAAAATGGATTTTTTTTCCAAGGAATGTGCGTGTCTTATAATGTTTCCAATATACAGTTAGGTCCATATATATTTGGACACAGGCACAATTTTAATACTTTTGTCTCTGTATGGCACCAGAAAAATTAAATCGAAATCATCCAAATGAATTTGAAGTGCAGACTTTCAGCTTTAATTCAAGGGGTTGAAAATAAATATCAAGTACAAATTTTAGGAATTGCAACCATTTTTATACACAGTCCCTCCATTTTCAGGGGCTTAAATGTAATTGGACAATTGAATATTATTATTATAATACAGGATTTATATAGCGCCAACAGTTTGCTCAGCGCTTTACAATATAGCGGGAGACAATACAGCAACAATACAGTTCAATACAAGAGGGATTTGAGGGCCCTGCTCCTTCAAATCCTTCTTGTATTGAACTGTATTGTTGCTGTATTGTCTCCCATTATATTGTAAAGTACTGAGCAAACTGTTGGCGCTTTATAAATCCTGTATAATGATAATATTCAATTGGCCAATTTATAATTTGTAAATTTTTAATATTTTTTTGAGAATCCTTTACTGGCAATGACTGCCTGAAGTTTGGAACCCAAGGACATTTACCAAAGATTGGGTTTCCTCCTTTCTGATGCTTTGCCAGGTTCTAACTGCAGCTGTCTTGAGTTGTTCTTTGTGGGTCTTTCTGCCTTTAGTTTTCCCTTCAGCAAGTGAAATGCATGCTCAATTGGGTTGAGATCAGGTGATTGACTCGACCATTGCAGAATATTTCACTTTTTTTTTCCCTTCAAAAGCTCCTGGGTTGCTTTTTGCAGTGTGTTTTGGATCATTGTCCATCTGTACTGTGAAGCGTCGTCCAATCAACTTTGCTGCATTTGGCTGAATCTGGGCTGCTGACCGTATATCTCTAAACACTGCTGAATTCATCCGGCTGCTTCTGTCACATCATCAATAAACACAAATGACCCAGTGCCACTGGAAGCTATGCATGCCCATGCCGTCACACTGCCTCCACCATGTTTTACAGATGACGTTGTATGCTTTGGATCATGAGCTGTTCCAAGCCTTCTCCACACTTTTTTCTTCCCGTCATTCTGGTACAGATTAATGTTGGTTTCATCCGTCCAAAGAATGCTTTTCCAGAACTGGTCTGGCTTTTTTTGAAGTTTTTTGGCTAAGTCTAATCTGGCTTTTCTGCTCTTCAGGCTTATGAATGATTTGCACCTTGTGGTAAACCCCCTCTGTGTTTTGCTCTCGTGAAGTCTTTTCTTGATTGTAGACTTTGACAATGATACGCCCACCTCCTGGAGAGTGTCCTTCACTTATCTGGATGTTGTGAATGGGTTTTTCTTTACCATAGAGAGGATCCTGCGATCATCCACCACTGTTGTCTTCTATGGATGTCCATGCCTTTTGTGTTGCTGAGCTCACCAGTGCGTTCTTTCCTCAGAATGTACAAAACTGTTGATTTGGCCACTCCTAATGTTGCTGCTATCTCTCTGATAGATTGGTTTGTTTTTGAAGCCTTACAATGGCCTGTTTCACTTGCATGGGCAGCTCCTTTGAACGTATGATGTAGGTTCACAGCATTAGATTCCAAATGCAAATACCACACTTAGACTCAACTCCAGAACTTTTACCTGTTTAGTTGATGGAGAAATAACAAATAAGTAGCCCACAC